ATAGTTATATAATCCCAATATAAATTAGGTATAACAACCGTTACATTACATGTTATTCCCATGTTATATAGCAGTTATATTCTGTGTTTGCTGGGTATATATATATATACCCAGCAAACACAGAATATATATATATGTATGTATTATTTATTGTTATTTTTCAATACTATTTGACTGTATTATTTAATTCGCATTTTGTATGAGACAAAATTGTATTTTCACGACTTATTGTTAGTAAGAATAAAAATAAAGAAAAATATATAAAAAAAGACATAAAAATAAAAATAAAATTAAAAAGACATAAAATATATAAAATAAGATATAAAAGATGTAGCTGAAAAGTACGCATTTCATATAACCATTCATCGGTAAAGCCATTCATGAATTGACGTACATTGCCGTGAATGGTTTTACGCTCTCAACATTGGCAAGACTGGCGACTGGTGCTTTGACAGATCAGGTTATACACAGCTATCATCTGGTGTAAATACGTAAACAAAATTGTTTATGTGGTAACGGCAAGAACAACGTGCGCGAAATGAAAATTATGTGGTAGAGAGAACGTCAATTGGATGTAATTTTGCTTTTCTGGACATGCAAATTGTAAACGTGATAGAGTGACAATATTGGCAAATATCGTTGTTGGAAGGATGAAAATAACGACGTTGAAAGGCATTTTTCCCGATCCAAGTAAGTAATATATTATTACATATTTTCTATTCTAAGTAATTGTAAAAAAGCTCGAAACAAGAGATTTTACTCAATAATTAAGTTGATAATGAGTTTCATTTAATAATAATACATTGCAAATGAAAAATAGTTAACAAAAATTTGTACATGAAAAATAACGTAAAATTAGTCACGTGCTTCTACATTGTATGAAAAGTATATAATTAATGATATGCAACATATATTTTATATGCTGTTATAGAGCCAGTCAAAAGGAAGAATTTCATTCAGGAAAATGTGAAAAATCTGCGGCGAATGGAACAATGCTTTCAAACTAATAAAGAGATAGAAGAGCTACAGAAATTGCAACTACACAAGCATCACAAGACCACAGACAGATATCAGAATGTATCCGCAAGGGTAGCCACCAGTTTCCAAGAGAGAAAAAAACATGAAAACAATGATATCAATCCAGTGTCAAAGAATAATGTTCAATCGAGAACTAATAATTCAGCATCAACCGACAAGGTGGAGGATGAAATGCAAATTCAAAATGGGAACAATACACTCGAACTGGACAAAAAGCATGCTGCTCCTGCTAGAAAGATTGTTAGACAAGGAATAAATAATAATAATAATATATCAGATAGACAGAAGAAAACTAGCAAACACAATAAGAGCCAGCAGAAACTGCAGCCAAAGGTTTCATCCGAACCAGATGTCTTGCACAAATCTGAAAATGACATGAATGCGCAGATTACTGTAAAATATAGAAATCGAGGGGTTCAGACTTTAGATACAGACCAAGTGGAAAGTATATACTCTGAAGGCGTTATTCGGTAAATATATATGCTGCGTTAAAGATTTTAGTCTTAAGAGAATTGTTACAAATCTGTAAAATAATAATAAATATTAGATTAGGACAGAATAGAGCTAGTAGAAAAAGGGAAAGTAATTCTCTATACTTACAATTCATTTAATTAATTTAATTGTTTCACTTACATTATTTCGATGTTTGACTCTCTCTCACATTTTTAATACATTTAATTTATTAACTGATTTATTCCGCATAGATATCCCTCAAAGAAAGTTACAACACATGATGAAACAGCAAGTAATGGCGACTTAAATCAGCAAGAGGAAAGAACTTTAAGAAATCAAGTCGATTCACCTACAGATAGAGGCGATATGCGTGATCTCCAAGACGCGCAAAATGTTGATTTACGAAATTCCGTATCGCCGGCACCTAGGGAAGAAATCGACTTTATCAAATTGAATAAAGAACGTACTTCCATTGCCACTAAATTGGCGATACAGCTTAATAACGGTGTCCCACCACTGAATTATCGCAAGGGTGTTATTCCTAAGTACGACATCGCAAATAACTTCTCCTTTACATCTCTCTGTGATTTTAAAAGAATTTTTCCTATTTTTTTTCATATTTCTCAATAGTTTTTTTCTTTTTACATTATAATACATTTTCTCAGAGTACATTATGTAATCGCACTATGAGATTGGCAATTCTTCAACTCTTCTTTTGTATAAACGTAATTGATAATAAGAAATAACAAATTGTAGAGTAAATATAGTGTTGAATAAATACGAGTAATTACGAGAAAGATATTAATATGATAAAACTTATTAAATCTCAGATAGAGGTGAACACTTATATAATTTACTAGATTTTTTATATAACAATTTTTCGAATAGATATCTTCGAGATAGAAAGGAAGCGCAAGAAAAAGAGCAAAAGATTAAGGCAGAAGCACTGCATCCTGACTGTCCAGAAGGTCATGTGCCCATACCCGATCATGAGCGTAAGGAGACACTGCGGCTATTAAAAAAAAGTGGGTATAATATGTATATATAAAATTTAACAACAAATATAATGTGATCTGTTCCAAAAATTAATTAAATCTGATGTTGATTATGTCTCTGATGCAGATTATCAAGATTACGTCAATGAATTAAATATGATGCCCATAAAGACGGATACTTTAAGAGCACAGAGGCGTAAGATTGAAATAGAAAAGCAACTGAATAAACTGGAAGAGGGGATCAAGGTGTTCTCGCGTCCCAAAGTTTACGTGAAAATAAATGCATAAATTACAATGTTTCAATCAGAATACAATGCATGTGTTTAGATATTGATTATCCGTCCGTTGTTTCAATGCATCTACCGTTTTAAAGGTCCACGCAATTATATATCTTGTTGTAAAATGGCGAGAATCACCATAGTGTATATATTTTTCATGTGTATGAAAAATTGATTAGTCTAATGTTTATGTCTAACAGTTTGAAGATGCGTTACACAATGGAGAAAGATTCCCTAAACTTTTCCTATAAAACTGGACGTACTCTGAGTTTGACAACTTTGTAGATAAAAAGTATCTCTCCTATTAAAAATAATAAATAATATTTTATTTAATAAATTAACAATGCTGATTATTTTCTAATATGCTCATTCTGCTTTTCTAAGTAGCTTCTGTCGATAGTATGCACAAAAGATATTGGATCAAACTGCAATTTTCCCAAATTATAAAATATCTCCTCTTTGTCGTACCACTTCTTTGTATCAAAGTCCTTAAAGAATATTGCAATCTCTCTCTTTGCCGACTCTGTTGAATCTATAGTAAACAATATATTGATTTTTTTTTCTTATACAAAACTTTCAGTTGAGTATTCATGATATTATGATGTATGTTACCAGATCCGTGTGTGGCAT